AGATGACATCAATGGGTTTCTTTTTGACTATGAGAAGTTTGCAAAATCAAAAGGTTGGGATGAAGAAACACAGTGTGGAATGATTGTCATGCATATGCCGGAAGAAACCAAGCCGTGGGTTCATGAATTGATAAGAGCCAAGACCCAGTGGACCGATTTGAATGACGCTATAATAAAGATAGTAAACGCTGAAAATGATGATAGAATAAAGATCAATCGATTGAGAAGCATCAAACAAGGCGAAAAAGAAATGGCAAGAGGATATGCAAGCAGATTTGAAGCCTATGCCAATGCAGTGAAGAGTAAAATAAGGAGCTATGAGCAACGTGACTGGTTCTTGGATGGTCTACGTGAACCGTATCGATCCAGGGTGGAGTGTTTTTGTTCGTCTAATTATACAAAAGCAAAGGAATGTACACTTCAGATTGAGACATTTCTTAAAGATAGAGAACGTTGTAGTGATAAAAGGAACCTGCCAGTAATCGAAGAGAAGCTTCAGACAAATGAATCAGATATTGATAGTATAACTACTGCACTTGAGGCTCTCACCATAAATAGGGTAAAACAAGAAACTGATAATGGCACCAAAATAGATAAGATTGAATCGGACATTAAAGAATTAGTAAAGGTAATTAGGGAACTTACCAATAATACAGAACCTGGACGCTTTGTTCCAAGAAACCAAAACCCAACACGTAATCTAAGACCTCCAAGATTAAATGTTGACAATCGGCGATGCTTTAACTGTCAACAGGAGGGTCACATTTCACGTAATTGTTCAAACCGAAACCCTCAAAATCCACCTGTTGAACATAGAGATGAACCAAGAAATATAAGAAATGAGGACGTTGAGATTAGAGGAGCAAACATCCGTTATTTTGAAATAATGACAACATCAAGTAAACCGGGAGTTGAATGCCTAAAAGTTGAAATGGTAAGAAAAGAACCCTTATTTAACATTCGAAGTTGGAACCTTCGTAAGAGAAGACGTGTTGATGAAGACGTGGAAGCTTCACCAGTTGAAAATAAGAATATAAAGAAAAAGGAAAAGGCCAGTAAAATTGAAAGTAGCCCTGTTGAGTCACATGCCCCTGGATCTGTAATGTATATCCCACTATCGGAACTAAGTCAAGAACTTGACATTCTTAAGAAGATCGCTGAAATGAAAATGACATTAACTCTTGAGCAATTGTTCAAATGGTCACCGAAAGCCAGATCCGAGATATTGAAAGCATTTACACGAAAAAAGAAGGAAAGTGACATTATTCTCTTGGATGCTAATGTAAGCATCGTTCGCGCAGTTCAGGAAACAAATGTGAAACAAAGTGGAGACGTCCCTATGGGTGTAATTACCATTAATAGAGAAAAAATAGACGTCCCAATCGATCCTGGATCACGATTGAACCTAATTCGTGAAAAATACGCAAAAGAAAGAGGTTTATCCTGGCAACCAGTTAATGGAAAAGGAAGGATGGCCGATGATAGTGTTAGCAGCTTTCTTGGCTACATACCAAACGTGGAAGTTAATACCGATGGGATAATAGTAACTCAAGAATTTTATGTTATGGGGTCTGCTAGTTTTGACGTATTATTGGGCATGCCATGGATTGCCGCCGCCAAATGTGACCTACAGTGAAGAGATAATTAATATTGGTGCTCGATTGCCTCCAAATATAAAGAAGTATCATTTGTTGCCACTACCGTACCTGAAAAATGGGTTAGCTTTTGGAATAATGTACATGAGGAAGATGAAGACAGTGATGATGGAGAAATTGAAGTGTTGTCTATGCGTCGGGTGCAGGTAGATGTGTCTGAACTTGAAAGAATGAACAATGAGTATAAAACCCTAATAAACAAAGCTAAAAATAGCAATCGTTTAGTGACCAAAGAAGTCAAACCGATCGATGATAGTCAGCTC